TGTAAACAGAACAACGTGACTCGATCGTGGTTGATGCTCCCCTGTGGTTAAAGATTCAGTTTTTTTGTTATCTTTACCTCTTACCTGGTTGACAGTTTCGTGATGGAGTTGGATCGGTATCTCATGTGGTTGGTGGATTGTCTGAAGGCGTCTCTTGGTAAGTTAGAAGTGTTTTTTGATTCGTTATCGTGTATGATTGATGGATTTTTGTTTCAAGTTGAGTCGTCTCTGTACTTCATTTTGCATGGGTGTGTTTCAAGTGATTCTTTTGGGTAAAACAGTTCTGAATTGCAGTTTTTACTATCCAAGCGACAAAATAAAGAAGGATAACAATCATGAAATTATCTATTGCTAATAACAATGATAACAGAAAATTATGATAATGATGAACAAATGATCATAATAGTAGGAACAAAATGAATGACAGTAACAATGTTGATAATAATAATAATTATTATTATTATGATGATGATGATGAACATTATAATAATAATAATAATGCTGATAATGATATTGATAATAATAAGGATAATAATAATGATAATGACAGCAATAACAATAATGATTATGAGAATGAGAATGAAATAATAGCAATGAGAAAGATAATGATAAAAATGATAACAATAATAATGGTATCAATAATCACGATTTTGATTATAATAATGATAATGATAACAATGCAAATGATAATGATTATGATAATGAGAATAATGATGATAATAATTGTAATAATGGTAATAAAAACAATCGACAGCAACAACAATAATGATAATAATAGTGATAAAGATCATAATAATGTTAATAATAATAATGATAACAATAACAATTTGCAAAAATTATATTGATAATTAATATAAAACATATAATTTAATATGATATATATATATATAATAATATACATAATAATAATATTGATAATAATGATAACAATAGACAACGGATATGACGACGCATGAGAGGTATTTCCGCCAAATACAATTTATTTGGGTTTGGGGAACGGGGGAAACGATACCATACACAATAAATTATAGACAGATTGTTTTGTATTTATTTTTTGTCATCTCTATCGCGGACGTCACAATATCGGCGGTAAATTTGGATTTTTATTTATTATTATTATATATATATATATATATTTTTTTTTTTTTTTGCTTTATTATTATTGTTATTCTTGGAAATAAATGTCGGCTGGTCCGCTATTTAAGAAAAAAAATGTGGCCTAATGATAATAAAAAACAAGGTATGGAAATAACATTAACATAGAAAATACAGTACCCGTAACAGTGACGTTGACCACTTTGACTTTGATATCCATATTTTGCCTTTCTTTTTTATTTTTACTAAAACGGTTTGCATTAACATTTTGGCTCTATTGGCTATTTTGGCTCTATCGCCTTGGCTACTTTGGCTCCTTTGGCTACTTTGGCTATCTTTGCACATGTTGGCGCGGGATGTAAACAGAACAACGTGACTCGATCCTGGTTGATGCTCCCCTGTGGTTAAAGATTCAGTGTTTTTGTTATCTTTACCTCTTACCTGGTTGACAGTTTCGTGATGGAGTTGGATCGGTATCTCATGTGGTTGGTGGATTGTCTGAAGGCGTCTGTTAGTAAGTTGGAAGGGTTTTATTCGTTTCGTGTATGATTGATGGATTTTTGTTTCAAGTTGAGAGTCGTCCCTGTACTTCATTTTGCATGGGTGTGTATCAAGAGATTCTTTTAGGTAAAACAGTTCTGAATTGCAGTTTTTACTATCCAAGCGACAAAATAAAGAAGGATAACAATCATGAAATTATCTATTGCTAATATCAATGATAACAGAAAATTATGATAATGATGAACAAATGATCATAATAGTAGGAACAAAATGAATGACAGTAACAATGTTGATAATAATAATTATTATTATTATTATGATGATGATGATGAACATTATAATAATAATAATAATGCTGATAATGATATTGATAATAATAAGGATAATAATAATGATAATGACAGCAATAACAATAATAATTATGAGAATGGGAATGAATATAGCAATGAGAAAGATAATGATAAAAATGATAACAATAATAATGGTATCAATAATCACGATTTTGATTATAATAATAATAATGATAACAATGCAAATGATAATGATTATGATAATGAGAATAATGATGATAATAATTGTAATAATGGTAATAAAAACAATCGACAGCAACAACAATAATGATAATAATAGTGATAAAGATCATAATAATGTTAATAATAATAATAATGATAATAACAATTTGCAAAAATTATATTGATAATTAATATAAAACAATAATAATTGTAATGGTAATGATGATGATGATAATAATAATAATAGTAATAATAATGATAATAATATATGATAATAATGATAACATAGACAACGGATATGACGACGCATGAGAGGTATTTCCGCCAAATACAATTTATTTGGGTTTGGGGAACGGGGGAAACGATACCATACACAATAAATTATAGACAGATTGTTTTGTATTATTTTTGCCTCTCTATCGCGGACGTCACAATATCGGCGGTAAATTTGGATTTTTATTTATATTATTATTATATATTATTTTTTTTTTTTTTTGCTTTATTATTATTGTTATTCTTGGAAATAAATGTCGGCTGGTCCGCTATTTAAGAAAAAAAATATGTGGCCTAATGATAATAAAAACAAGGTATGGAAATAACAGTAACATAGAAAATACAATAACCGTAACAGTGACATTGACCACTTTGACTTTGATATCCATATTTTGCCTTTCTTTTATATTTTACTAAAAACGGTTTGTCATTAACATTTTGGCTCTATTGGCTATTTTGGCTCTATCGCCTTTGGCGCTGTAAACAGAACAAACGTGACTCGATCGTGGTTGATGCTCCCTGTGGTTAAAGATTCAGTGTTTTTGTTATCTTTACCTCTTACCTGGTTGACAGTTTCGTGATGGAGTTGGATCGGTATCTCATGTGGTTGGTGGATTGTCTGAAGGCGTCTGTTAGTAAGTTGGAAGTGGTTTTTATTCGTTATCGTGTATGATTGATGGATTTTTGTTTCAAGTTGAGTCGTCTCTGTTCTTCATTTTGCATGGGTGTGTATTAAGAGATTCTTTTGGGTAAAACAGTTCTGAATTGTAGTTTTATTTACTATCCAAGCGATTGTCAGTACAAGCAACATAGTTATTTTGTTTTAATTAGAATTAGTCACATCTGAAAGCATTTTTTGAGGAGAGTTTGTGCTCTCAGTGGTGATGACAAATAGGTTAATCTTTAGGCAAGGGTTATGGAAACGGATCTATTTCTATACAATGATTTTCTTTCTTGGAGGCACTGATCTGGTTCCTGATCTTATCCAAACCTAACCTATCCTATATTACCTAACCTTACCAAACCTAACCTAAAACCTAACCTAACCTATCCTAACCTAACCTTACCAAACCTAACCTAACCTAACCTAACCTAACCTAACCTAACCTAACCTAACCTAAACCTAACCTTACTAAACCTAACTAACCCTTCACCTCACCTCACCTCACCTCACCTCACCTCACCTCACCTCACCTCACCTCACCTCACCTCACCTCACCTAACCAATTCAGGTCATCTTCGGCAGTACTCAGCTGCGTTCAACAACTTGATCTCGTTTTGAGGAAGAAGCGAATCTGTTTCCACATAATGATTTTCAGGCTAAGCAGTACAGATTTTTTCCATTTCTATAACCACTTCGTAATCATTATGGTATGGACACACAAAGGCAGGGCATATTGAATATAATATTCTTTTAGAGGAAAAAAAGGCAGTCTTCAGTACAACAAGTAATCTGCAGACATGGACAGTAATGCTATAAATTAAGGAAAAAGACTGCGGAAAGTGCTGCTCTCAGCCATGTCCACTCAGTGCTCCTGAGTTTCAGCTCTCTTTTCTCGTACATACAAGGCAAAGGCAATTTTTCCCAGGGGGTTTTAGGTGGGTCAGAGCCCTCTATCAACCCTCCCCTTGTACAGTCCACCCAGTCACGGCAACTTAGATTGACAAATTTATTTTTTGATGTGGAGTTGTGGACTTAATTTCAGGCGACTGTCAGTATTGCAAAGAATTACTGACAAATCTCTTTCTTAGATATGTATCTCTGGAAGATGGGAGTGTACAGATACATATACTAACTTCCACAAATTTCGGGCGTAAACACTCTGGGCTTGACTTATCGCTTTGTATTCACAGAAAGTCTAACCTTTAACGAAGTGGTTAGAGAAACGGAATTAAGTCCATGCTGCTTATCCCATAAATCATCATGTGGAAACAGATCCGTTTCTCTATCTGCGGAAAATCTTTCTGCAAAGATGGACAACCAAAACATTTCCTCAAATTGATATTGAGGTTGTCGAACGCAGCCAAGTACTGCCGAAGATTACCTGAATTGGTTAGGTTAGGTTAGGTTAGGTTTGATTTGGTTAAGATAGGTTGATATGGTTAGGTTAGGTTAGGATCACGAAACATATCTGTGCCTCCAAAAAAGAAAATCATCGTGTAGAAACGGGTCTGTTTCTATAACCCTTGCCAATCTTTATTGACTTTATAAAGTGTCATATTTGTTGTATCTATCTCATCTTTCTTAAGCAAAATTTTCTGACTTGTAGTGTGCAATCCACCGTTTGCAGCGGATGGCAATGCTACACAGTACAAACTTTTCAATCTGGATGCATGATATATTTCAACCTAGTAATAAACCTCCAACATATTTTTTCACAAAAGGAGTGCTTGTAGATCTCTATCTTGCTATAATTTACCATAGATGGTAGAGATCTGCCATACTTTGTTGGAGACGGAAGCAGAGGGACCTTAATGAATATTTAACCCTGCTCACACATGGCCCAAAATCCAGCCATTTGGCTTAGTTGAGTGGCCACTCTCACAAATGTGTGGATTGTAGGCCAGGTGCACGTAAACACACGTGGGGTTTCAAGAATTGTATAGCCTAATGTTTTT